CGTATTAAACGGACTTGCACCAATCAACCCTATTTATTTGTGTTATTCGTACCAACCCGTTAACGATCTAATTAATAATCGTGCGTTTAAACTTATTTATCTAGTGTCGTTTTCGTATCGTTTTATTATGTCGTGTCCGAAATTATCGGCCCTAGCTTCAACTCATTGTTGTCATCAACATTTGCGTGGAAGCAATCATTGTCGTCTTCTTAGATGTTGTGTTCCTTGTCCATAATATTTTCAAGCTATTGCCGTCTTCAGAATAAAGTCGCTTTCAAGTTTTTGTCTTCCTTCCTTCTGTTCTGTCAAGATTTTAATGTGATGTCGTTTCCTTCTCCCAAAGTTTTGTCACAAGTGGAACCATTATCGTTCTCTATGAAACTGTCGTTTTCCAGGCTGATGTCGTTTTCCAGATTTTGTCGTTATAAATGCAATATTTCTTTGGTTTCTGTCCTTATCTTAATATAACGTGGGTTTCCAGCATTTTGTCGTTTCCTTTCTCTCTTCTTTTATCTTTTGTTTGGAGTTGCGATCCTTTCTTCTTGTACCAAGTCCTGAATGGAATAAAACTAGTGCGACAAATACAATTGAGCTTTTTGCAGAGAAGAGGCAAATTGCTTCTCACCAACACCAAAGCTGTGTAACATTTCATTTTTTTTCTTTCTTTTTTTTTTTTGAGGAAAATGCACAATAACACTTTCCGTTGACAAATTAATACGATGGATAAAAATTTCTCCAATATTATGAATTTTCATCAAAAGTTTGAAACTTTTAAGTTATGAAACATGTTTTGGATGTAAAAACCTTCAGAGAAATTTCGGTAAAAATATCGATTTCAATAAAATTGTAGTGTATTTTCTACAAAACTTTTAAAAACATCAGATAGTCTTGAAAAGAAATATAAAATATCAAAAATAAAACTATTTTTTTTTCATTTTATCAATGTTTTATTAGATAGATAATAGAAAATTATCACCTAACATACTTGTACACTTTATAGATTAGCATGTCAAGATATTAATATTGTTTGAATCACCAGCTTTATAGGACTTGTTTTTATATTGGGATTTCTACCTAATAGGTATAGAGTTTTTATGTTAAACTTATCGATTATGCACAATCAGAACTATTTAATAACTAACCCCCTTTTTTTTGCAAGGGTTACATGTGTTCTTTGATTAATAACCCAACCGACATGACAATTAGTTAAACAATTTTCTATCACTTGATTAATTTGTACAAGTCAGAGGATGTTTAATTGGAGGATTCAAATCATGATTTAAATCATAGTTTATAATTTATTATAATATTTTCTCTCATAAAAAATATACATAAATTAAAAATAATTCTAATCACATAATTTTAATCCATAAATCAAACGTCTCCTTCAAAGTTATTCTCCACTTGTATTTTACTCCTTTACTCCTAACTAGGCGTTTCTTATTTTTCAAACTTTCACAAAGCGTGGAATATCCCACTGTTGGGATGGGAAAGATAAAGCTGAAGATTGTCTTAAATTCAAATATGATCTTATTAAACTTTTTTTTAAAGAAAGGGGAAAGAATTTGAGACTGCCACCCACTCCATCTATGTCTACACACAACCAATATTTTATTGATCTACTGATTTATATGACTAACTTAATTAACATTAATAAGGCTTATTCGTTTGCACTTAAATTCAAAAAAAAATTTGAACTTAAGTTATAATTTTAATTAAGTTCATTTTCTTTTATAAAATTTGAGTTTTTATTTGAGTTTTAACTTGAGTTTATAGTTAAAATATGAGTTTAAATTTCTCCTTCAACTCGAGTTTCTAAACTGAAACTCAAGTTAATAAACATTATTTTTTCTATTCTTAAAAACGATATAACTTTTTCACTTTAATTTCGATTAAGATGATTCTTTTTTTATGCATTCACAACGAATAGATGAATAAAACTCCATCAATATACCATATTAAAATTTTCTATCATCATTGAGTTTTTATTAAAATAATATCTAAATATAAACTCAAGTTTTGACCCACCTAAATACAAACTCAAAAAGATTCTCATATCATATCTTAACTCAAATGTACACAACCAAATACAAACTCAAATTACAACTTCAACTTAAATTATAACTCAAATTCAACTCAAAATTTACATTTAAATTATCATAACTTAAAAATACAACTGAATAAGTCTTAAACGACGTTTATCTTTCGGTCTAAACCTATCAGACTGAATAAAGAAGAACCAAATGCATTACGGCTTGCATTGTTGGAACAAATTCACGTTGAAGCTGAGGATTTGGTAACTTTATTTGTTTCCTTATAATATTCCCAAATCTTAGTTGCCTTTTCTTTTTATAAAATTCCTAATCTTAGTTGTCATTCCATGGAATGTTTGTTTGGATGTTTGTGGATTAGGTGGTACAATCCATTTAATTAATTACCCGCCAAAAAAGATTGAACACTTCTTTAATGTTTTTTATTAAACGGAAGAATAATAAGAGAAAAAAGGAATTAAATGAGGCAAAAGGCCATGTGCTAGAGCAGGTGAAATGACCACACGCCGGTGAAGTATGTGGGGCAAGTTGCTTGCCAAATGCCAACTTCCAACAATCCAATTCCATTACTATTTATTATTTAAATGTACTAAGATCTCGTTCGTTTCGCTGATTTGAGTTTAAAATTCGAGTTGAGATGTGATTTTATGTGAGAGCTTTTTATTGTAATAAAAAAGTTAGATGTGACTATTTGTGAGAGCTTTTTACTGTAATAAAACTCAAATTCTAAACTCGAATCAGCGAAACGAACGAGGTCTAACTCAACTCATAAGAACTATTCACTCTTTTTTTTTAACGAAACTTTTGAAGTCCATACCTTTTACTCATAGGACTATATTTATGCAACATGGGGAAAAGAAATTCATACTTCAATAGTAAATAGCCATTCCATTGCTATTTATTACTGAATTGTACTATTTGAAGTCTTTTGAAATTCGTACTTTTTACTTAGGATTATGAGAATTTTTATGATGTTTTCTATACTTTTAGCAACACTGAATTTTTTTTATTTAGTAGTCGTCAAATTTGTATTATCTTTTAATCTGATTTAATTTTTGAGTAGATTTAATACAGATACAACGATTGATAGGTAGTAAATACTGATTTTTTTTAAAAAATAGAACATTAGAGAAAGTCTCTAGGACTAAAATTGTAAAAAATGAAGTAAAGCAAACCAAGAAATGTCTAACAAAAATATACTTGTTAGTGGGGGTATTGAAGTGCCTGCGCAAATTTTGTAAACTTTTCAATCACTCTATAAAAGATGGTAGATTCTTTAGTACGTTTGTTGTACCAATAGGCTAAATTTTTTTAACTATTAAATCTACATATTTTTTACTATTTTTAAATAATTTTATACAGATTTAACAGATAAAAACCTTAACTTACTAAGTTAGCGTTTTAAAAAATGTCGACCATAAATTAAGTACACGCAGGTCAAGGTCATTTGTCCTTGCATATCACGAAGTAGTAAATGTCAATTAATTTTGCTGATCCCTCCAAGCATAATTCTCCACTCTCTATTAAATTATTAAAACCCCTTTATCGGCTATTAATAAAATTCATTGCCATTTTGAAAAAACAAAAAAACAAAAAAAAAACAAAAGCTACAAATTTAGAAGAGTCGTGGCCTGCAGCATCTAAAATCAGTCATCTTGACTTGTGAGTCTCGTTGCAGAAGTAATTGAACCGGATCTGGCCGTAGTAAATCTTCGAAACCTTTGAGAAGAAAAATGAATAAATGTTTCCCTAGTACTCCTTCATGGAGTAAGAATTTTGATAAAACAGCGGATTCGGAGTATCACCTGTATTGGGAACCGAAGTGTAAGACAGTGCATGAATCAAGGTTTATCTAGAAATAAGACAAAATGACTTAACAAAGATTAAATATGTTATAAAATTCAATTTTAGCAACTATGATCAGTGAGGTGTAAGAAGACTGTTCGTTCACTCCGTAAGATTTAGGAAACGTTTGGTTCATGAATTAGAATTATGTGATTAGAATCATTTTCGATTTACGTGTATTTTTTGTGAGAGAAAATACTGTAACGAATCATGAACCATGATTCGAATCAGGGAATGAATCCCCCAACGATCTATTGTGTTAAAATTTATCTCATTGTCGTAGATGGGATATGGACAATTCACTTTGTAAGAAATCATATTATCATTTTGAAATTTTATGACAACACTCTATAAGCTATAAATATTTTTTTGGAAAAAGAAAAATAAAAATGTAGTAAGATATTTATCTCCCCTTGCATTTATAAGGATGGTGTCGTGGGTGTAAAGAAAATCCAAAGAATCATAAGTCTATTGACATATTTTGAATATAGGAAAAAGTTGAGGTTGGTACCAATAAAATTTAATGCACCTGGTGAAGTTCACCTCTGTTTCTATTCGCTTGCCAGTACTAATAATCCAGCCTTTGGACTCAAATGGACCCAGGAGACAAACAAGAGGGTTCATGGATTGTCTTTTTTAACGAAATTTCGTTACGATTATTATTATTATTATTATTATTATTATTATTATTTTGGGGCTATCGTCGTGATTATTTGAATCTACACATGATGGAGAAAGGATGAAGGAAGTAAAACAATGTGGGGTTTGGAAAAACAAAAGAAACAACAACAAAAAAAATCCTCGCAATTTCATAGTAAGAAAAATGAAAGAGAACGAAAATATTCGCAATCACCGCATCAGCAACCGGTAATAGTGACTCTTCTTCTACCCCTTCAAGCCAAAAACAAAAAAAACAAACAGAAAGACCTTCACGCTTATGAGTCAGAGTCATCAGTGTGTTTGACAATTGTGCAGTCAACGCCACCTGTTCAAGTTCTACTTGCCCTTGTGTTCTTCAAACCTCAAACCGTTAATATTCAGTCAAAAAAATAATTAAAAAATAAAAAAAAACAAACGCCGTTAAGTCCTTCTCATCTTTCACTTGCTCCTCTAATTGACACCCATCAAAGTTTGCCCAAATATAACCTGAACGATCTCTCTCTTTTACATGGAGAACAAAGCAAGAAACAGAGCCTGAAATGCAAAAACCAAAACACAAAAAGGAAGAAAGAGAGTAAAAAAAAAAAAATGAAAATCCTGTTCTGGGTGTTTCTTGTCTTTGCTCTTGAGTTATCAATATTAGCAGAATCAGCTTCTTCTTCATCATCAGTATGTGAAAGTCCAGACCAAGAACTACTCTCCAAGGCCTTCAAATCAGTCTCCGGCTTCAACCTCTCTTGGTTCCAACTCCGAAACTGTTCAAACAAACCCATCAGAGAACTCAACCTCTCGTCCAAGAATCTCACCGGAATCATAGCATGGAAGTTCCTCAGAAACATGTCGGAGTTACAAACCGTCGATCTCTCCAAAAACTCTCTCAAAGGTTCCGTCCCAGGTTGGCTCTGGTCCCTGCCAACCTTGCTCAAAGTCAACCTCTCCACGAACCGCTTCGGCGGCAGCCTCCGGTTCGAACCGGCCGGGACAAGAAATTCCTCGATCCATCTCCTGAACCTATCCAGAAACCGGTTCACCAACTTGGCCCGCATCTCCGGCTTCCCAAACCTGACGGTTCTAGACCTTTCGAATAACCATTTGGGAACTCTACCGTCCGGGCTCGGAAATCTCACGAGACTGGAGCATCTCGACATCTCGGGATGCGGTATCTCGGGAAGCCTCAGACCCATCTCGAATCTCCGGTCGTTAAACTACTTGGACGTCTCGAACAACGCTTTGAACGGAACTTTCCCGTACGACTTCCCTCCTCTGAACGGCGTCAAGTTCTTGAACCTCTCCGCTAACAACTTCACCGGAATAGTCACACACGCGAAGTACCAGAAGTTCGGCAAATCGGCTTTTATCTCCGCCGGGAATTTGACCTTCAAGTTAAACTCGTCCAAAAGCTTGGATTTTACGTCGAAAAACTCGACCTTTCATCCTAACTCTCCACCACATAATCACAGAAGTATCGAACCAGTTCAACAAGCCGCTCACAAAATTAGAAAACCCGAAAGGAAAAGCTCGAAAAGTAGGGTTCTGGTTCTGGGCATTTCCTCTGCTTCTGCAGTGATTTTCTTGGCTTCAATGGCGGTTTGTTTGGTTTGGATACGGAGAAGAAGATTGATTAAGAGAACGAACAAGTGGGCGATCTCGAAACCGGTGATGCAACTGCCGTTCAAGATGGAGAAATCTGGGCCGTTCGCTTTCGAGACGGAGTCGGGGACGTCGTGGGTGGCGGACATCAGAGAGCCCTCGTCGGCGCCGGTTGTGATCTTCGAGAAGCCGCTGATGAACTTGACTTTCAAGGACCTGATGGCCGCCACGTCACACTTTGGGAAGGAGTCCCAGCTTGCCGAGGGCAGGTGTGGGCCCGTCTACACCGCCGTGTTGCCCGGAGACATCCACGTGGCGATCAAGGTCCTCGACAACGCCAGAGACGTCCATCACGACGACGCCGTTTCATTGTTCGATGAACTCTCCAGGCTCAAGCACCCCAATCTCTTGCCTCTCTCCGGTTACTGCATTGCAGGTACCGTACCGTATCGTAAACTATACAAAATTACCAATTACTCCAATTTTTATTTTTATTTTGTTTATTTATTTATTTTTGAACTTCTGATTCATGGCAGGGTTTTTAACCTACCATCTTAAATTGAACCCATTCACGGGGTATAATTAATGATGCTTCTGTATTTTCCCAACCATTTTCCCACACGTAAATCTAAGTACCAGCCTATCATCATTACATTTGACATTAATTATTGAAATTCGTGAATTGTATTTTTTAAATTTTTTTTTGAAATTTATTAGGGGAAGAGAAGCTGGTTCTGTGCGAGTTCATGGCCAACGGCGACTTACAAAGGTGGCTGCACGAGCTACCGACCGGGCAGCCCAACGTGGAGGACTGGAGCGGCGACACGTGGGAGCAGGTGAACGCTTTCCACGCCCACTCGCCGGAGAAAATGGGTTGGCTCACGCGCCACCGCATCGCCGTCGGGATAGCGCGTGGGATGGCGTACCTCCACCACGCGGGATCGCGGCCGGTGGTGCACGGCCACCTGGTTACCTCCAACGTCTTGCTGGCCGACAATTTCGAGCCCCGGATCTCGGATTTCGGGTTCCGGAGCTTTGGAGGCCGAGAGAGCGGTAACTGCAGTACACAGGCGGACGTGTATTGTTTCGGAGTTGTTTTGATGGAGCTCTTGACGGGTCGACCGGGGACGGCGGAGACGGTTGTGTGGATGCGGAGGCTGGTGAGGGAAGGGCATGGTGTTAACGCCATCGACCCGAGGCTTCGACCCGGTGGAGGATCCGACTTGGATAGGGAAATGGTGGAGACTCTACGGGTCGGGTATTTGTGTACGGCCGAGTCGCCTTGGAAAAGGCCAACCATGCAGCAGGTCCTGGGTTTGCTCAAGGACATACATCCCACCATCGACTTGAGCTGAGTTGACTCGTCTCGTCAGCTCTCCAAGTTCAGAGACTGGTGTTGTCCCCTCTCCGCACGCGATACTGCAGCGCGTGCGGCGCGTGGTACAATTTCGCCGCTGCCGAGACGGCGGAAAATTGCCTTTCCTGTGTTTGGAAAAAATTTGAATAGGTAGTTTTTGAATTTTTCGCCAGTTGATTCTCAATACGAGTCATGTTGTGAAGGAGAGTGGACTTCACGCGCCGTCTTGTCGCGTGATATGCACAGTTGATGGGATTTTTTTTTTTATAAAAAAAAGACATTTTGTTGCCTTACACTGCCAATTTACTTGTTTAAACTTTTGGTGTTATTTGAGTTTTTAATTCGAATTAATGTGAGTTTATATGAGAATTTTTTATTATAATAAAAAAGTTAGATGTGATTATTTTTTAAAATTTTTTACTGTATAAAATTTAAATTCTAAACTCGAATCGGTGAAATAAACGGGTTTTTTAACTTTTTAATTTAAATTAAAATGTTATATTTTTAAAAAAATTAAAAATTAAAAATTTAAATTTGTGAAATAAATAAGATTTATATATTATTTTATATTGTGATGTATAGACAAAAATTTACAGGATAAAAAAAAAAAAAAAAAAAAAAAAAAAAAAAGAGAAAAAGAAAAAGGGTGGAGGCGGGGGAGTTATGGTATGGGATGGTCCTGGTGGAATAGATGTTATGGTTTTGGTGAGCATAGAGACCAGGGAATCCCACTTATTGCTTGTCTCTTCTGGATGCGGTCATCAATCATGCATTCTTTATCTTTAATTTTCTCCACTTTATTTTTTGTTTCCATTCCAGTGTTTCTTTATTTGTTTCTGTACCTGCTTTATTCCTTCAACCTTTTCTTTTTTCGCTTTTAGCTTTTGTTAGGGGGATGTTCCTTTTATATTTCACAAAAAGGAAAAAGACGCTTAGATATTCCCTAAGTTGATCACTTTGATCCATTTTATCTAAGTTACGTGTTGTATAATTGGACTTTATAGTGGGGGACCTTACTGCTATATTTTTGGAAATTAACAAATGTCTCTGAGTGTGTGTTCGTCAATTTTGTACGCCATGTTTGTCTGTGGCATTGTTTTGAAACATTCCTCAAGTCCTAAGTGGTGTACTTCTGCTAATTGTGTGAACGTAAATGTCATTTGCAAAAGATGTAATTTACTTGCTTCTTGAGTTGCATTTCTTCAGTGTAACAGTGTTTGCATTTGCAATATGAAATGCTTCAACTTGCAATTATCTTTCGGAAAAAGAAAGATTAATGAACGAAGATTGTTATGAAAAAACGGTCAAAGTACGTCTCTCACACGTCTGTTTTTCTATTTGGTCTTATTGGTAACCAACATATGTAGCCAAAACAGAAATTTTATGCGCGTTTAGAACTTGTTCTAAAATGATTTTATTTTTTGTATGAAAATGAAAATGAAAAGATTTTTTCAATCTCAGATATAAATTATTTTTTAAAATGCGTTTGATAATTTTATCAAGATATTATTTTTAGTATAAAAAATTTAATTAATGTCTTTATCTCTTTCTCTCTGCTCGAGAGAGGAGAAAACGAAAATAAAAATTAAAAAACGATTAAAAGTCTTTTTTTTATTTTTCTCTCATTTTAGACTAAACTAAAAATCATTTTCATTTATGTTTTTTGTCTTTATTGTACGAAATACCGTTTTAGAAACGTTTTTATTTTTTCTTTCTCAAAAAACATAAAAAAATAAAAACATGATCAATTCTAAACACGACGTAGATTACATCTATATGCAAGCAATTTTGTTAGATTTAGAAAAAGAAAGGTTAATGAACGAAGATGTATTGTTCTCAATAGATCAATCAACTGTTCAATTCTACTGACTTATCACTCTTTATCTCTTTTGCTCTAATTTATATACACTTGTGGAACCAATTTATTAATAATAAAAAAGAAAAATGATATATATATATATATATATCGGTTAAAAAGAAAGTAAAATAGAAAAAATAAGAAATTCTATGCAGGACTTTACTAATGGAACTTCTCTTCTCTCTCATTTTATTCCTTGATGCCAAGATAGAAAATTAACGGAGAGCGTAATATAACTGATTGATCTGCAAATAGGTTACCTACTCGGAAGTGAATATGAACTTTTGTTTGCAAAAGCTACACATAATTCCATTATCGATTCTGTCAAGCAATACATAGCAATACATAGACTAAATACGCCATCTAAAACTGCTGATATACGAGACTTTTATATATATATATATCTGTTCATACAAGAAATCACCTAATGAGTCCTTTTCTATCCAACTAAACAAAGAATAAATACAACGGTTATAAGCACCACTAATGAGAGGTAAGTATTGTGGAATTGGACTTTATTAGGACTTGAGTTTGGTGTTTATTGTTGTGTGTAAACGATGTGTGACTTGGTCTTTTTTTTTTTTTTTTTTAACTCTTTACACCCCATCACAAGATGATGCTCTCTTTAGAGTCACTAATATCTTCAATGGGATAGATCAAACCTTTAATAAGATAAAATCTGATCTAGTCAGAATTTGTATATGTCAATAGCGGGGTTGGGTCGCAGTTGTGGGTTTAAGGTCATCAAGTTGGTTGAGTTGTGAGGTATGATAAGTTTTTGGATGGGTTTGCGGTTGGTTTTGTGGCTCAATAATCTTATAAGCTGGTGTTTATTTTCATGTTTTAAACGACGTGAAATTTAAATTTATTTTTTCCCATTAATTTACAATTATGATATCAATCTTCATGAAAAATATAATATAGACTAACAAGAAAATTTTTGTATCTATTTTGAACCAATACTATTATTGTAGAGATCCGGCATCCCTCTCAGGGTGATCCTATGGGTAAAAGTAGTTCGTTGTACGGCTAGTGGCTTGGTAACCGGAGGCGAAGCAAGTCCCATGTTTTATTTTTATTTCTTCATGGATTGACGGCCGAGGAGTTAAAATCCTAGTACGAGTAGACCAAAAATAATATACTAGATTTCAATTTTGGCTACTAGATAATTACTTGTTTCCATAAAATCATACGTCCCCTTGATTAAGCACAAGTTGCCCCATGTTTTAAGATGCCGTTTTTATGTCATCGTCTAACTTTATTCAGAAACCTCAAAATGGTCAAATCTCACACAGGCAAAAAGCTTTCGTGGTCGTTCTTGATTTAACTTGTTGTCTTTTCTATGTCGTGAGCCGTGAGGCTGATATTTTTAAGGCTCGTTTCATTATACCTGTTTAAAATTTAAATTTTATTACAGTAAAATTTTTTTATAAATAATTATATTTAATTTTTTTATTATAATAAAAAAATTTTATATATTAATTTAAATTAAAATTTTAAATCAGTAAATTAAATAAACTTTACAGTTACGTTAGAAGTACATGCAGCGCGTAATGAAATCTGTATTAGGCGTAAAGCAAAAGGCACTTGAGTGAGATCTTCTTTCTTTTCCTAGAGACTAAAGCAGACAACGATGGGAAAAGAAATAAATACAGCTGAACATAATTCCGTGCCCTGTGGGCATGTCTCAAATTTTATCAGTCACCGTTTTTACCTATCCAATATTTTTGGGATAAGGATATTAAATATACAAACACATGTATATATGACTGGTAATTGGTTCTTCTTTTCCTGTAGCATAAAATAAAAGTGAGCATTGCAACCTGATATTTGTTATAGAAAGTGAGTATGGAAAAATGTAAAACGTACCAAGAAAATTTAGTTATTCGAGATTATATTGTTATATAATTTTCAATATTAGTATTATGTTGAATAATTATTTTAGTACAATTCGTGATATTGTATGTTACGGAGATATAATGAGGCCTAACGAAATTTGATTTTTCGTTCTACACGAAATATTTTAAAGTATGAATTTAGTCCTGCTCGATTCGTAGTGCTTGGCGGGGTGTATCTTTTAATAATTGGCCAAAGCATATATAAATAAATTAAGAACGAGATTTAGACAAAAGGTTGTTATAACTTTGGTGGTTTGATCGAGAATTTGAGCATCTGCTAATCTATGGTAGGAATACCTGCTTAACCAGTCTTTCCTGAACTTACAATCAACATTTGTGTTTTCTTTATTATTATTATTATTATTATTATTTACTAAGAAAGCAATTAGCATTACGCGTGGTTTGAGATACATATTTTGAAAAAAATGCTTAAAATCATTAGTATTAAACACCCTCACTAATAAAAAGTAAATTTTAATTGTGAGTTTTAGGACCCGTTTAGTTTGCTGATTTGAGTTTTTAATTCGAATTGATATGAAACTTTTTATGAGAACTTTTTACTATAGTAAAAAAATTAAATGTGATTATTTTTGAGAATTTTTTATTGTAATAAAACTCAAATTGATAAAATGAATATGATCTTATATTACATAATTCACTTTTTTATTAATGAGTGACGTTCAACGCTATTATTACAATCGATATCTTGTGCTCATATTTTCGTCATATTTCCATGTGTAAATGTTCGCCGTGTACTCCAAAACTGAGGTCAAAAGTCTATTCCTTTTGGACAATCCATCTTGGTTGATATTGTGTGCATGTGAGAGCGTGTCGTGTCTTGAAAAAGTGCTCCTAATTAGATTGATACATGACAACGACTTTTGTATTTACATGTATCGAAGTACAATAGTCTAACTCCACTACCATTCCAATCCTATAATCAAAGTCTATTTTTTTCGTTAATTTGAGTTTAAAATTTAAATTTTATTATAATAAAAAATTCTTAAAAATAATTATTTAATTTTTTTACTGTAATATAAAGTTCTCACACAATATCACATCTAAATTTAAATTAAAAATTTAAATTAACGAATCGAGCGGGCCCCGGCGTGCCTTCTATAACCAAGGCGTTGGGTGACTTGATCATTTCCGGCTCATCCTAATTTTCCAAACCGTGAAAATAATGATTTGAAGAGAAACCAATAATTATTGGTTTTGACTTGGGCAGAGGAGACCAATAATTTAGTAGTGATAGCGTGCCTTCTTTCTATAACTAGTTGAATACTATGCACATAATAACCAACCCGTGTGTTAAGTTTTGATATCATGTTATTATCTTTTTTAAATTTATTTAATAATAAAAATCTTAATTTATTAGTTAGTTATTGCACATAACACAAATATCTTTATAAATATCGCCGTTAAAATTAGAGAAAAATTAAATAAGGACACACATGAAAAAAATTATTTCAATAAAAACACTTGGTAAAAAAACTATATACAAGAAGTACATCAAAAAAGGATTACATTGTAGAGAAAC